AAGGTCCGTAAGCAGCAGGCAGTTCCATTTGGGAGTATTAGTAATTATAAAACTAACTGGGCTAACAGGGAAACGTTATACAAAAAGCGGCTGAAACAGTCAATTCCGAACAGCGGACTGCCGAGCGGTAATCAGGCCTATCAAACGATGTTGTCGTTGCTTTGTACCAATTATCACGTGGCCAACCGCTTCTTGAGTGTGTAGAACGAGGAACGATATCCATGCCTAAAATATCAGTGATGCATCCACATCGATGTGCCTGAGGCAGGTTCAAAATCTAAGTGCAAAAGTAAAAGGTTTATAAAGTAATGCGCACAGGCCCAGAATGTTAGCGGGGTAGCATATAAAAAAGACAATCTCTCGGTTTCAGTAGCCGTCTGACTGCTTTTATTGTCGTTAACGGAACCGGCATCCGTCCTGACTTTCGCCTGCCGCTTTTCCTGCTCCATTAAAACTCCTTCTGTTTGACGTTCAGTAATTGGGTGATTTACTGCTGAAGTCCTGGCCTTAACTTCATCCATAAGGTGGACTTTTACTGAATATACGACTGTGTTAAATTGACCTCGAAGAAGGTTTTCCGACTGAGAGATTCAGGTGAAGAGAATGGGAGAAAAATTGTCCCAAGTTCAGTCGGCGCAACAAATCCTCTGCTGTTACATTTTCAGTCTAAATGCTCGCACATTTGAATGGTTCAACCAGTCGCCTACCATACCCTCCTCCATGTGTCAGTGCAGTTTTGCATGTGCGGTGCTTAAACATATACAAGCCAGAATAAAATCCTTGGTAATGTTTTTGGACTACTGCAGCAATATTTCCGTTGATTGATGGTCCTTGAATTATGATTCATTATTTTCGTAGGTGAAATGTCTATTTCCTTTCACGCAATTTCTGCTCACGGGCGTCTGCAGTCGAATTCAACACTGCGTCCTGAACAGGGCTTATTTATGCTGTTGGTATTCTAAAACAATAGTGCTATCAGTAAACTTAAGTTCGGTAAAACTGAAGTTGTTTGTTGTTCTTGTAGTGTCCACTCTTTACGCGCTTCTATATTTTTCGTTCACAATTAGCTGACAACAGCTAAAAATTTGCAGGTTGTCTTGAAAAAAAGTGTGAACATATGCTCTCGATTTTGGATACGCAGGCTTAACGTAATATAAGGCATATAGAACGCCAAATTTTCAATTTCTGGCCCCATCGGGTTCAAACGGGGGAAATTTGTGGTTAAGGAGGCTCGCAAAGTGCAAACGATCGATAGTGGGCAGAGGAATCTGTTTGAAAACGGTGCACCCAATCCAGATCTGTATATCTAGTGCCGCTGAACATAATCAGCTACATTGCAGATCAATGTATAACCCTCCGAAGACAATAGTGATGGTTATTCCCGGTAG